AATTTTCTTTGAATTCTCTTGAACAAACGACTGGAGGCGTCTCGCTAGTGAAAAATACGTGTCGATCTATTTGGAGCGTTCGCCGAAGGGCTGCGCGCGCGCCTGTTTACGAACATTTACGAGTTTACCGATATTAAAAGGCAAATGTTATTTAAGATTGGCGCTACGTAGTAGCGGATGAAACCGACTAAAAAAGCGTAGGTATCGATGTTGCGATCCCTTAGCTACGCGAACGATAAAGATAGAAAAATGTCAACAAATAACGCACCTTATTTAAGTACAAATTACATCCAAATTGGAATTGTGGAAATTCATTTGGAATATACTTTTATTTGTTTTTTTCTCTTCGAACTGTCATGTTGACATTAGAAGCGATAAAAGAAGCGACAAGACTGGATAACAAGGGAAAATTGATTAAACTATTTGAGCAGAGTCTAATCTCGAGTCAATATAGTTACTTATTCTTGTAATGTCTTTATGTTCAAGTTAGATCATCATTTTTTTGGAATTAGGCTTCTTATTTCTCTGAAACGTTGATGGATTATAAAAATTCCACGCCAACATCCAAATGACGACTAAAGTGAAATTCGTGAATTCGCGCGTTAAATCTTAGCACGCGAGAAACGCACTCGAATCGACCAATATCCGAGTTGATGATGCTATTGATCGTATGTTTTGCATATGCGTGTAACATCGATCGAGTTAGTTGTCAAAGAGGAAGGAAATTTAACAGGCGTCGTTATTATTCATTTTGAAAACGTCGATCGGAGCGGTCGGTCGACGGTCGGTCGATAGGCGAGACTCGAAAGAGAGAGAGACAGAGAGATGTTGTCTCGCGTGGTCACACGTACATACACCTATATATTGTACCTTTGAAGAAATAGTCGTCCATGTACGTAGTGACACACCCGGTGTGCATGCCTTGCTTGCTTCTCAGGACGCGCACACTCGACGGCGCGCATTCTGAATAGCTCTTGTCGTCGACGTAAACACACGTACGCACGTCTCTCTCCCCTATCATTCTCTCTTCTCTCCTTCTAGCGGTCCGTCTCCCTCGCAAGCCTGCTGCCGTCGGAGATTGTATCAGCGAGTCTCGACTCAAAGGTTCATTGATAAAATCGTTTCGTCTCCTCCCTTTCTCCTTATATTTAAGAGAAATAAACAAATGTTACATTTTCCAAATTGTCCAAATAGGTGAAATGACGAGGTCGAAAGGTCGTTCGATATCTCCATGCGCGGCTCCTCCAAATTCCGATAATTCGAGGGTTATCAATATCAAACGCGAAATACATACCTATATCTTTTCATGGACTTTATTTCGCTCGCTCGCTCGCTCGCTCGTTGAAATTGATACGAATCGATTGACTCGAATATCAGTATGATACGAGTAAAAGCAGAGCGAAGGAAGCATTGCTTTTTTTTTTTTTTTTTTTTTTTATAGTATCTCGGTGCAGGGCAAAGAGTTAGAAATCGGGTTCGACTCGGTAGAGATCGATTTCGAGATCGTTTCGCGTAATCGAAGCTTCGCACGAATCTCCTTGCGCGGCTGTTGCTGCTGCTGCTGCTGCTGCTGCTGGGTTCTCGGTGTGAGAAAGCGCGCACCACGCGGCTCCAATTTCCTTGCTCGAAACGCACAGCTGTCTTTTGAAAGGTTCACCACCAGCGGCTCTTTTCCAACTAAACTTTTCATCTCTTCCCTTCGATTCGTAACATCTGCCCTCTGAATAAAATTTCATTCGCAATAGGTGTGTTTCTAAGGATCCTCGATCATTTCGATTCATGCAGGATCTTCTTGTCATGCACATGGAATAAGCGTACCTCATTAAAATGCTTTAAGCGGGGCGCATGCGCGCGATGAATTTCTCCCGAAGTAAGGACCAATCGGAAGCCGCATGTGTGTAGTTGATGAATAATTCAAACTTTAGTCGTTGAAGACTGTCATGCTCTCGACATCTCGACAAGCGAATAGTAAAAGAAATAGAAAGAGATAGAGAAGAGGCTCTGACTTTTTTCCTATTTTTTGTTTCCGATGTTGTTTGTTTCCCCTTTTTGATAATGTTTACATTGCGTCTAGGTTGCGTTTTAGTTGCGTCTTAGTTGCGTCTTAATTGCGTCTAAGTTGCGACTTTTTCTCGCCGGAAAAACAGAAAACTCGTAGCTTCGTGTCGCAACGTTCTATTGTGCGTGATAATTCCTGAAGGCCGCTAACGAAACTAATTGGGTGTAACGACACTCTGTCAGAAGCTCAACTCTGCCTTAAGAGTAGTTTTTTTACAACGCGCTTATCGTAGTCTCCCTTTTCTCTTCGTTCCTCGAGTTGACGTCGAACAATTGGAACGATTAGGCCCGCATAATCAGAATTGTCTCTTTGATCTCGATTGTTCTTGAAATATTTCGAGAAGAGTAACTTAACTCTTTTTTTTTGAAAATCATTTTAAAGAACGTCATTTTAAATAATTACTCCAATCAATATCACAGAATTGTTTGGAGATAAAACAATGTCGCTGATGAAGCGCGTGGAAAAATTTGGCGAATAAACGTATCGCCTATGCTGAACGTTAGCGCGATCATCATTATCGTCGTCGTCAGTTGAAGTAGTCTACATCATAGCCGTTATTGCGTCGTCCCAACCAACAGCTCGATGCGATCGTGGCGTTGATGGTTTTTGATTGGCCGGAAGTGACGTCACGACACGCATCGCGAGTCTACTCGCATTAATCCGTAGCGGCTCGCGCGTTCTATACGCCATACGTTCTGAGGATATCGTATGGAGACGCACCAGCTTATTTTCCTCTTGCTAGTTCTTTTGAAATGATCGGCAAAAAAAAAAATAAGCCCTTTTTTACCTGAAACTCCTAGATATCGTTAAAGTGAAAAATTCTATCGAGGTGATAGGAGAGGAGTAATATTTCATAGCGATTCGACCGGCAGACTGACGGACTGCGGTTTTTCAGCGCAACACGTAAGATCGCGGTTTCAATTGGTTGAACAAGGTTGGCAGTGAAAGGCGAGAGGATACGCGTAGCGAAACATCCAAATTCGACGACTGGGAAAGAATCCCATCGGAGTTAAAAGATTCTCCACGTTTTGGAGGTTACGGCCTCTATAGAGTAGCTCGGATAGTAGGAATCGGTAGTAGAAGGGGGAGGTAGAGGAGGCAGCCTTTATGACCCCTCGGAGGCGGCAGCAGGCGGTAGGCAGCGGGCGGCGGGCGGCGGGCAAACGGTCGTCGAGTAGCGTGGGCCTTTGTGCCCGAGAGAGGATGGCTCCGTGCCAAAATCCGTCTACGATCCCTTCGTTCCATGGCTCCGTACTAACGGTCCTGCGAAAAGGAGCCTTTGCGAAATTATCGTCTCGATCATCTCTTTCTCTTCTCCGAGTTTTATCTTCGTTCGACCGAATAACAGCGCTAGACTATTTCACAGTTCCGTTTTATATGTTGTATTATTTTTATAAATTTATCGTTTAAAAGAAGATTAAAGTCAGTTAGCCGAACAGAGCGAAAATTTGCTAAGAGAGCTTAGTTGGTATGGGGAAAAAAGGGAGGATTCCCTTTGTAGGAAGGGGGCCAATACTACTTCGCAACGACGAGACTCCGTGCTCTTTCCACAGGGATAATAACTTTAGTTAGACTAGTGTTTCTCGAATCGCTTCGAAAGACCTTGGTTGGCAGGACGAGAAGAAAATTTGAGGAATGCTCTCGGTCTCGAGTCTCTAGTTCAAGAATAACCAAAGGAAAAGAATTTCAATCGTTTCTCTCGTACAGTTCTCGTCCAAGTTTTCTCTCTCAGCACGTGCTACCACGTCGGACGTTATCGAATCGCTCGCCCGAGTTAATTAATAACCCGCGTTTATTTCTTCTGAACGTTCTTCGCTGACTAATATCGTGGCAAGAAAACAATAAGAATAACGAATCTTGTCCTTTCCTCCTTGAGAGATGTTTGATCTTGATATATTATTCAAGTACTTAGCGCTTTTCCGAGTTGCGTTTAAATGAATTTCCTTTAAATTCAGTTGGGAGAACTCGGTTGTACGAGTCGCCGACCGTGGACTATGATTAAGATTGAATGATTTCATATTAAGGGAGTTATTAATAGTCTCGGTTTTTCTCTTGGCTCAGTTTCAAAATCTTATTACGTCGACGTTTCTTCTCTCGTACGCGCACCGGAAGGAAACCCTCGCTCGGTCTGTCTTACGATCCTGTCTCTTTTCTTTTTCCTCGCGAATTTATGAGAATCTCGACGACAAAATTGCAATAATCGGTCGTAGCCGGGATATGAGAGGATCGTTAAACGGCGAGGTTATTCACGTAATCGCGTGAATTATCGTTGCTGCCGTTGCTACATTTCGTTAAACAGTTTTGAATCTTTCCTTTGGATTTACAGCTTTTCATCTATTTTTATGCGAATTTGTTAAATTAATATTGCTAAATTTGTGCTGCGAGAATGTAAGGAGAAAGAAGACAAAAAAAAAATAGGAATATTTTCTAACTCTTTCTTTCCGTTTGAAAAACTAACAGAAATAATTGATCGTTTCAACGTATCTTGTATTTTCAATAAAGAAAGAAAGAAAGAAAGAAATGGATGCGTTCAGAATGGTTTTCATCGAAACAAATATCCGTTGTTGGACGTGTATGAACAAATACAGCGTAGAATTACTAAAGCATGAATAAATGTAATCGGGTCGCTGGAAACGGCGCTACTTTAATACGGATCAACACGGATTTTCTTCATTACCGTTTGGATTCGATCACCTTTGGAATTTATTTTTCTTTCTTTGGTTCTCGCCTTCGTGTATTTTCTTGTTCGTTTTACGTTAACAAAATTGAGAACAATTTGCGCCCCTCCCCAACTGTAACTCTGGAAAAGAGAGAGGGGGGTGGAAGGGGGAGGGTGGGAGAGGAAGATATATCTCTCTGCTTCTGCTTGTTATTATAGTTGGATTTAAGGTCGTCCTCGTCCTCGTCCTCGCCCTCGTCCTTGTTTGGATCGGCGAATCCTATCCTACCGGTAACGAGAGGAAAGGAAAAAGAATATACGTATACATTTGCGGAAAGTCAAGGATAGAAGTCGTGGACGACCTTTGGGCCGCGTTCCTAACGAAACCGGAGTGGCTCGTTTTAATCGCGTGCCAGATGCTTTGAGATATTCAAAACTAGCATGGTCGGCGTCGTTGTTAATCTTCCGAAGCATCCTCCTCTCCTCCCACTCGCTAGCTTCAATAAAATCTAAAAGTTAAGTACGTCGTTCTCGAGAAAGATACGCGAGGAAGATGCGCAAGATCGTTAATGTTCACAGTAAATAGCTTTGTCGTTCGTGCAAGTGGCTAGTTTCTCGTTATTCGGTCTCTACAAAAAATCATTGAAATTTGTAACGATCGACTAGACATTTTTTGCAGCGTAACTGTGCCATCGCGTATTTTATCTTCCGTATCTCGTGATCATTTCTCACACGATGCGAAACGAAGCGAAGCATACGTGCGCGCGCGTACTTGCATACACGGCTGACGTATGCGTGCTGCTAACCATCTCAATTATTTAATTCCGCTACGAGCAAGCAAAAATCGTCGATCCTCGTCGCTTCTTTCTTTGCTCTCGACGAGAACGATTTTGCCTGGCGATATTTCCCATTTCATGTGCCTCCTGTGTTCATCGATCGACTACACGCACCTAGCACACACACCCTCTATGTTTATTTGCCTTCTGTGCCACCTTCTGTGCCACCTTCTGCGCCAATATGCAAATGTCTACGGTTTCTTTGTATCCGGATAACCGGCGATAATATAAGATGAACGACCGTGTCCGTCCTCCTAATCTCCTTTAGACGAACGTGTTTCTTGTTAATCCACGTCCGAAAGTAGTCGCCAGAAGTAGCCAACTAGTTTTCTTGCCTGCATCTCTCTTTCTCTTTTAGTACCTCGACAATAACGAACGCGGGCAATTGAAAAGGACCGTACAAACTTAGGTTTTAGATGAGAGAGAGAGAGAGAAAAAAAAAAGTCACGGAAGCTCGACCTTAAGGTGATTTATCGCGACTAATTTATTCCAACTTGAGTACTAGCCTGCTCGAGTTTGAGCGGCTATTTAAAGAGCCATTTTCCAGGCATACTCTTTTCGCTTCTATCTCGAGGGAGAAGTAAAACTACTCTTGGATATTGCAGGTACATATTTAGAGAGGAAGCTAGTGGTCGGACGTGCAACATCTTTCAACTAAATGTTATCGCATTTATCTTTCTCCCTCTTGATCCCTCTCTATCTCCTTCTTCTATATGAAAGAAAAATATTGGTATTTAATCGTACGTCGAGCTGAGGTAGAGGCGCCGATGGAAACTAGCCAAAAGTGTATCGTCCTCGCGACGGTCACGGTGAACGTAATCGTCTTTGCTCGCAAATCCACCCCGGTCATTATCCTTTGCCGACGTAAATAAGGTCAAATAGTATTTAAGAATAATGAAGAAATTTGTGTCGCGTTTCAGCATATGGTGCAGACAGGAATGGCTGCGCCGTACGGTGGGGGTGTCTTCCCACCACCGGTAAACGGTGTCGCGGGTGTTGTTGGGGCAGCCGGGGCGGCAGGCGAGGTTAAACCACCCCCACCGGTACCGGTTAAAGAAGATAATAGCGGAGCGGGTCAGCAGGCTCCTCCAAGCGGGGCCCAGGTAGCAGCCCCAACGAGTGGACCACATCCTTCGGCACCAGGGCAACCAACGGCAGCCAGTTTTAGTCCACCTCCGCCGCCGAATGGCGTCGATCAACAAGCCATCGTAAGTAAGATTCAAATGTATTATTAGATAGAAGAAAATTCAAAACGAGTCATTGGGTAGTAGAAAAATATTTGATATCTGAAGGAATGTAACATAAGTAAATCTCGATAGGGGGTAACTCATACGCTTCAGTCTCGAAAAGGATTTCCTGAATCGTCGTCCGTTCGTTTCCTATCATTTTCATTATTCTTTACACGTATTCGTAAAGTTGTAATAGAAGCGTGTCCCCGATTTTGCAGCGCCGTTTGCACGACAGTTTTACGTTCTTGCGAGCTCTCGAAAGGAAGGATATATTGCCGCGTCGAACGATATCGCTCAGCGAGGTCGCTCGAAAACTAATCCCGCTCGATCTCGTTCGTTCTATTTCGAACGCACGGGGTGATGGTGGTGATGGTGGTGGTGGTGGTGGTGGTGGTGGTGGTTCGTGCGTTCGAGGCTTTTTCCGAGGACGCATCACTTTCTAGATTAACCATACTCAAGAGTTTCTTATAACGGTTCCTCGGTATTAACCTATAGATATTACGCTCCGAACATTCAACTCGATAAGAATCTACGTATTATCTACGTGGCCGAGCATTACCAATGGATTTAAGATATTATCGTCACGTTATAAGCAAACTCATTGTCAGTCTTAACGCTTGAAATTCTGTTTGAACGCGCGGCCGGAACGTGTTGCTTCGGGCTCGTTAGTAGTCCAAGCGCGATAAGCCTGGCATACCACTTGGGCTGACCACTTTCAGCCCTACTCCACTCGACTATGTCGCGAAGCGAATCTACTTTGTCCGCGAAACAGATCTTTCGGTTAATTCTTATTACTTCTAATTTATATTTAAGACTTCATCGTATTTTGAAAGCGCGTTACGAACGCATAGTCACAAGGACTTTGATTGAACGATCCATTATAGTTTGTTCTAACAATTTATATTCCGGAATCCATTTATCTCCGAAAAGTCGGAGGTCTTTCAGGCGGCAGTGGCTGCAGCGGCCGCCGCCGCGGCCAACAGCGGTGGACAACAATCTTCTGCGACGCAAGGAGGAAACGAGGCAAGCCAAGAAGGAGCAGTCGAAGCTGGCTCTCTCGTGCCGGTGACTTCCGGTGCGACGACCCCGGCCACTGTAACGCAAGCCACGGATTTGAAGGGCCAACCTAAGCGCCTTCACGTCAGCAATATACCCTTCCGTTTTCGAGATCCCGATTTAAGGGCAATGTTCGGGGTGAGTTTTCAAATAAACTTATTTACCAGGATACTATCATCTCGAAATATTTACTCTTAATTCTTGCTTTTCTTTTGCCTTTGTTGCAGCAATTCGGCCCGATCCTCGACGTGGAAATCATTTTTAACGAGAGAGGAAGCAAGGTAAGCTCACGTCGATCTCTAGGCTGCGAGCCACCCCTTTCAACCCGTCCTCGGACATTTAATTCTATTAATCTTATATTTATTAAGAAGAACAATTTCAGTGACTTCGATCGATCATCTTAGCGCTCTCCAATACGATTGTGACTTCATTTTCATTTCACATGTGATTTTAAACATTTTCATGTCGGCAAACTTGTTCTTTTTGGATCGCCAAGAGATCGATCGACGAGTTTCAGTAAAGGTGCAGCGTCGCGGCAAACGTTTGCCATTTTTCTTATCAAAGTTACTTGTTAAAATAAAAGAAAGAATAAGTGAGAGAGCATGCGCTCCAAAGGAAATAATCCTTAGTTCGCGGCTCTGCATCTTCTTATTGCTTATTTTCCTTCTTTTTCAGCGCGTTGGCAACGTTCTCTTCTTGCGCGCTCAATCGTCTCGAAATCGAAACGATGAAAGCAATACTATTGGCAATCTTAGAATCGGTAGTCGTGTAAAAGTGTAGGTAACACGGCTAATGACGTGGAAGAGGATCAAGGGGAGATAACGGGGCGGATAACGGGGAGGATAACGGGGAGGATAACGGTAGGGGTTTCACATCGTGCCGCGGAAGGTTCGGAAACGTTATGTAAATAGCTTTCAATATGGATGACAGAGGTCTGGATAAGATCCGCAGTAATACATTGTGCCGACAGGCGGCATCCGGTGAGCCTGCATACTCGGCGTCTTTGCGTTAAGTACACACGAGTGCACTTCATCAAGTTGAGGCCGGGGAGAGTTGCGAGGAAAACCGCTCTACCAACGGGATATTTCTCCGCGTTGACGGCACAGGCTATGACGTAGTAACTCATAGCGAGTTGTCTTCGCCGATCGATTATCGACTTTTTCCTTTCCTTCCCTTCTTTTTTTTTTTTTTTCTTCTCTTCCGATTTCTCGAAGATTCTCCCAATTTTCCAACCGATTCTTATCAAATTCTTTTCTTACATTCATCCAACTTTCTTCTATCAAAAATGAAGTAAGGGAAGAAACCGATCGTAACTTGACGATAGAACAAATCGCCTTGGATTATGAATAGTCACGAATGTATTATTTGCTTGTAACCCTTAAACGCGGTTTATTATTTTGATTGTTCGTTTGCCGTTGTAATCGTACTACTCACGCGACAAACTTTGTGTTCTCTCTCTCTCTCTCTCTCTCTCTCTCTCTCTCTCTCTCTTCCCGTTCTTTTTCTCTTTGTGTAATAAAGCGTGCAAAGTTCGCATTATAAATTCGTCTCCTTGTTGTACTTTCTTCGTTAGCTTAACATTATTATTACCACGTCTTCCAACCGATACGAATTTAATCTTTCTCGAGCAAAAGTAGCAAAATGATTGGTTTCTCTTTCTACATTTCTCTCGATTTTCTCAATTTCTTGGCAAATGGAGTCCCAAGACGACTAAGATAATTCGAATGTCGTTTAATAAACGACGTTAAATCGTCAAATCGTCAAATCGTTCAGGTCGAAAAAACTTCCACTAACTCCGACTGATTTGCCCTTTTCTCTTGTGCCAGTTAAAGTAAAGATTAAGCAAATCGGAAGTTTATAAAAGGCAATCATACTTATTAGACGTAGATTAAAGAGCCGAGTAATGATCGAATAAGCTTCCGTCAGGGCAACGCGACGAACGGGAAGTCGACAGCAAGGTACATCCGTAGTCGTAACGACCAATCATCGACCGAATATGGAACGCAAAGTGGTCCATTTCCATGTTCTGCCTCTCTCAGGAAGTACTCTTAAGAGGGGGGGGGGGATTAATTTAACTCCCGTGCAACCGGTCTGCGCTTATCTTCCTGCTCGATCCTTCTCGACGACCTTCTTTTATAAAGACAATCTTTTCTTTCGATAACGAGACGATCGAAAATTAGGAAAAGGGAACATCTTTTTGACATTTTCCACTAGAAATTAATCACTTTTCTAACTAATTTCATTCTAGTTTGTTTTATTTTTAAGAGAGCGTTGCCATCGTATTATTATATATAATATATATTTTCATATATTTTAAGTACGTATACATATACATATATATATATATATTTCTATTTGCCTTTGTGAAATGCATCAAGAATTAAACGTTCAATATATTTTATTTTCTTGATTAAACTTCATTTTTCAGGATTAACGTACATACGTCTTATTCTCCTTGTATTTTGCAAAGGCTCATAGGATAATATATTTTTTGATGAGTGTCAGAGTTCACTCGAGTACGAAAGAGAGTAAGAAAGAGAGGGAGAGATAGTAAGATCGTACGTGTCCGCGTGTGCCTGCTGTTTGTCTGGATTTGTGTGCGTGCGGGAAGAGTGAGGGAAGGAAAAGAGAAAGAACATTTTTTTCGAAAGCTTCGTCAATGTAAATGGAATGTGGCATCCCTAATAAAGTGCAGCATTTTGGAAAAGAACTACGTATCTGCAGAGAGAAAATGAGAGAGCAAGTGCGACTATCTTATCATTTCCGAGTCATTTTTTGGTTTTATTTCAAAAGGAAGTAGAGAAAAAAGAATAAGAAAGGAAAAACGTTGTTGAAAGTCATCTTGTCACGCTTGCTCTTAATTTTGCGTATGTGCCCCAGTGACAGACACGTACATACATATATAATATATAATTATTTATATACGTATATATATATGTATAGGCATATAACCAATGGCGTTAGTTCTCTCGTAGTTGTTAGACGAGCTGTTGCATTTTTACTAGCTAGCCTTCCGCATTTTATCGTTATTTAGTTCCCATTGGTTATACATAGAATCGATCGTAGCGCCTCTCGTACAATATGCTCGTTAAATCAAGTGACAAATGTTGAAAAAAGTATTGGAAATTTGAAAATAAGATAACTTTCGTATTAGAGTTTTCGGCGTACAACCATAAGGTTGTATAAGGTCTATAAAGAGGCGGCGGCGTCGGGCGGCGGCGTCGGGCGGCGGCGTCGGGCGGCGAGCTATTATGTACGGTTGGCGATTCCGGTCGAGCGTCACTATCGCTCGCGGATGAACAATTCTTCGGGAGATGCCTGCCCATTTGATTTGATGAAACTTTTTTGCACCTATATCACCCTTTCTATTCTCCAAATCCAACAATTCCACAAATTTTCCAACCTAATCCTTACGAGTTTTCATTACAAGCAGGATTTTTTAAAGACCGAACACGAGTTCTGACAAATTGTCCCTATCATTAAATCCAAAGTACAAAGAACGAGAGAAAATAAATAAACGACAATTAAGGGAGTCGAGTGATCGATTGTTTTCACAATGCAGATCAACTAATTGTTCCAATTTTTTATCTTTATTCTTCTTATCCCCTTTTTTCTCTCCTTTGGTCCATATTTTCCATCGCGATCGCCGAGCCTTGACTAATCCACTTGCAACGTGACCAGCATGATACGTACATATAATATACTGCATTTAGCAAAACTTATATATGCCTATATATTTATATAAATATATATATAAATATATATATATAAATATATATTTACACGCGCACTATACTCGTTGCATAGATATGTGCGCATATACACGTTATAATACGAAAGGTATCTCTATATTTAATTGTTACAATCATTATTATTATATTATTACTATTATTATATGTAAATAGTAGTCGCACGCTTTTTTTTAGGTGAGTGGAAGGTATAATGTGAAGCCAATGCTTTTATTTACTTTTTCCCTATATCTATATTTTTTTTCTATTTTTTTTTTTCTTTCTTTTTTCTTTATTAATCACGTATGTGTCTTAGAATAGAGAACGCTGCTTTCGATTTCACTATCGTTCGGCGGATCGCATTATATTCTCTCAAATATTCCTTTTAAAAGACTCGTTCGTTCCGTTATCTTTAATCCGATTCCCGTCCAAACTTGAAAATCATTATCCGCATTCACGAAACTTCAGATAGCAAACCAAAGAAAATGTTCTCCAAACTTTGAATTTCCCTCATTCTAATGTCTCTTTCACGCATTAGTATCTTCTACAATATATTTATTAAATAATATTTCAACAAATGGAATCGAATGTAGGAGAACAGATATGAAAAAAGGAGAGAGACAGAGAGGGGAAAAAATAAAATAGATAAAAGAAGGAAGGAAAAAAATCATTTGCGGTATATACTTTGAAATGCAAAAAACAAAATAAAAAACTACTCTTAATCTCGTTAATTTGTACCTCGCTCGTTTTTGATTTCCTTTCCTTTACATCTTTCTCTATCTCTCTCTTTTTCTTTCTTTCGTGTATGTGTATATACAGACATACACTAATTATGTAATCTTGAATCTCTCGTATTGTTTTGTGCGCTTTTATATCGTTGTTTGGCAGCTTCGGTCACACTACTTCGAGTACTTTTCAATTTCCTGCTCTTTATATACTTATCCACTGTTCGAATGAAAATTGTCCTTCCATATTTAATTTTCCGTCCTTAAAAAAAGAGAGCCATGCTCGCGTTCTTCACTACCACGAAGAAAAAATAACGATCAAACAAAGGGGGGAATTGTTGTTCACGCCATGATGATGATGATGATGATGATGATGATGATGATGATGTGACGTCTCCTTTTCCGACGTGTACGTGACTTTATTTATTCGATTCGAGCTGAGAAATAATAATAAAAGAAAACGCGAGCAAAAACGAACGAACGAACGAACGAAGGGTAGAAATATCGACGCGTATTTTTCCTTATTCTTCGTCATATAATTTGTTGTTGAATAATTTTAGAAATATTAGGGGGACAAAAGAAATATTGAATTTTGAAAAGAAGAAAGCTCTTTCACTTTCCTTATTCCTTTGACCATTTTTCATTTTCCAAAAATGTCCCTGCCGTGTTAGCACTCACTGTATAGCGCATATATAATATATACTTACATAACAACACGGTTGATTAATTGTTTGACTTGGTTGTTCATTGAATATAGTTGTCTCTTCTGAAATACAAGCACACGCTCACACACCCGGTCGACGCGAAAGTAGTGTTAATATCTTTTTTATTCTGTCTTGCTATGTTTCGCACCTCACTGTTAATTAATTGGGTAATTATTGTTTATTCGCCACGCTCTTCCGTGTAAACGGATACTGGACACTCGGACACGCATACGCACACGCGCGTCTTTCTTACAATTAACAAAAAAATAACAAAAAAAGAAAAAAAACAAACATTTTCGTTTATTATAATTCCTTTATTTTTCCATCTAATTTCTTTGAAAAGTTAATGAATGAAAATAGGGTGAGGGAGAGAAAGAGTAACAGCAAACAAATAGAAATAATAGGAAATTTGGATAGTAGCGCATTCTAATCGATAACAAGGAGCGTTCGCGATTCCGAGTCACTGGTCGTTGGCTTCCTTGATGCTGGTAGTAGTTGTAGTAATTGTGACAATAACAGTAATATTAATCGTAATTATAATAATAGTAATAATAACAACAGTGAATATAATGATTCCATGTCCAAACTAATTAATGATTATCTAATTGTAAGTAATCATCCTTGGCACTTTTTTCTCACGAGATTCGGTGGTATATGCACATATGTATAAGCAATCATTTTAGAATCACCCACAAGTCTTATCGACGATTGTGAGTGTTTTATATGGTTGTCCTACTGTAGAATATAAGAATATCAAGTAAAACAGCGAAGAAAGAAACCGAGATAAAATGTATGTACAACGATTGCCCCTTTTCCGTGGTACCAGGGGGTGCTCTTTAGTCTACGATTTAATATGCGACATAATCTATACGATCGCTACCGCTAATCCTTCACTCGGTTGATAAGGAATGTTTATTAACGTTGGTACTTTTTTGTATTGCGTTATTATACGAATGCCGAGACCTTTTTCCTCCTCTCTCTCGGGCATTGGTGCAACAGTTATATGCCGCAATGTGCAAGTGCAATTTTTTCACTCTCTGGTTATATACATTTATTACGCTCTTTGTACTTATTCTACTTTTTATTCTATTATTATTAAGTATTATGTTTTCCTTTTTTTTTTTCAATTTTTTTTTTTTTTTTACAATTTTCTTTTTTTATTATCGCTACCTCGCTTTTTTTTTCTTCGATCTACGTAGAAGGATGAACTTTCACGATTACTTGGACTACCTGCACGCCGGATGTGTTGATATTTATTTTTCTTTTTTACATTACGATTACGATTTTTTATATTATTATTACTATTATTATTATTATCATTATTATTATTATTTGATCGACAGTTATCATTTACTTTATCATGTACTTACTTATTTACTTACTTACTTACTTACATACTTAATATCTTACTTACTTACTTACTTAATTACTTACTTACTATCGTACTTACTTATTTATCGTTTCACCCGAGCTTGCATGAGCAGTCATATTTACACATGCGTGTAACTATTCGCTTTCTTCTTTTAAACGGAATGGATTCGTTAGTAGTGAGGCAATGAGAGCCCGTATGTCCAACGACGATGAAAAAAAAAAATCGTTGTTGTAACATTGATTAATTTCATTTAATATGCGGTAGACTTTATGCATTATAATCACGTATATAATATATCGCAGCGATTATTATATTTCAACGTATATTTTACTTATATAACGTCCAATAGAATGGCAGGGGCTTGAGAAGAAGAGAATTGCCTTGCCTGATCTGTAGTGTCGGACCTTTTCTACTTTGTTTGAAAGAAAACGTCTGGTAATCGATCACGGTTAGGGTAGCAATTAATCGTCTCGTCGAACGACTACGGACGATCCAACGATAGTACATTTTATCCGCTAAACAAAATGATATCTGCTCGACAAGAATAATTACTAAAAGGAAGCTTTATTTCTAAATATGAAGATAAATAGCTTAACGTAATTGACGTGTAACATATTCTATAAAAAAAAAAAGGAAATAAAAAGCACGATTAGGAGTTTGTTTAATTTTATATTTTTCTGTTTTTAGCGTCGAATTGGCCCTGAGAAAATAATGAAGCGATACGATCGACCAAACTCCCGGCTCGGTTTTTTTATATTTATATTTCTATTCTATTTTCTTGACTTTTTTAGAAGATTCTTTTTTCTATTTTTCATCGCAACACCTTTACGTCGTTATTATTTATTGCTAGGTCATTAACGGAGAGGCCACACTTTTGACTACAAGTTATGCTAGGGACGAATCAGATGGTCGCATGGTCGAAGGAAATATTTATCAAACTTTGTCGCACGCACGTTAAGAAGAATAATAAAAAATTCATAGAACGTTTTGTCGTTTTCGAAGTGCGCGGCCGCGGCCGCGGCGGCCACGGGAGCCCAAGATGGCGTATACAAAATGGCGTGCAAGATGGCGATCTCCAACACACAAACACACACACACACACGTGGTTCGAGTAATGATAACGAAGAGGCGCGTATCGCTACTTTTCTCTCTAGAAATTGGAATGATTGGTCTTTAATATTTTGAAGAACGACGTGCATCCAAAAAATGGCGTAGATTGATTTTCTGTAGGATTTTCTCAAGGATATGTCGGTAGTACCTATCACGAGCCGCAATTTCCCAAAGTCTGATAAGACCTTTAAAAGAGGTTCTCGAATCGCGCTAGATCTCCCGTCACGAGAACTCCTACCTCTTGACGTAGAAAATACGAGTGCCTGGAAGAAGAGAGTTGGAGGGAAAAAGAAGAAAAAAAAGAAAAAAAGAAAAATAGAAAAATAGAAAAAGAGAAAGAGAAGCTTTATCTTGCTAGTTTCAGTTCGGACTGGAAATTGCCGTGAAAAAAGATCCGGTATTAAGGTGGTAACAATGCACGCAGGGTCTATGTATACAACGTCGATGTAAATTTCAACTAAATACAACATTCTTTTCTTTATTCTTTTTCGATTCGTCTTCAAAACATTGACTCCCGACATTGATTTTTCATATCTTCGAGCGTTAATCGTCGCATAAAGAAAAAAAAAAAACCAATAGAAAGTTTATTCGTTTATTCAACATTGTTATAAAAGAGTCGAAAAGACGTGAGAAAAAAGCCAACTCGTTGTTTATTATTCATGGAATATGTAAAATAAAAATGTAATTACGAAGCTTGATGATGTCGTGACGTCGTCGATGCACTACCTTTTTCAGCGCTGAAAAATATCGATTATCATCGGTTTTATGAAATGCCGGTTAATAATAACTTTCAACGTTTTGCCTATCATTCTCCTCCTCTCTTCCTTCTTCTTCTTCTTCTTTTTTTGTCTTCTTCTTCTCCTTCTTCTTTTTCTTCTTCTTCTTCTTCTCTTCTTCTTCTTTCGGAGGAGAGAAAGCTACGTCTCGATTCGTCAAAGTCGAAAGCGAGAATCAGACCGCGCCCTTAACCAACTGACAGTTAAAAGGAGAAAAGTCGATTATCTTGGGCTTTCCCTCCTTCTGCCTTGTTCTATTTCCGTGGGGAAAAAAGGTTTATAAGCAGGGCAAGAAAACGTTCGAGAGAGAGAGAGAGAGAGCTTTCCTCTTTTCTACGTCTAACCACAACGTCCAACTTTATCGGAAAGAAGAATTTATCGACTTTATTTTTTGTCCTTTCTTTTCTACGTTATACTAGTTCTTTACTTCCTCGAGATAAGGTCAAGATAAGGAAATTAGAAGAATCAAGGATCAATCTTTTGTTGCTTCGGTCGACCGACCATTAATGATTGTGGTGTGAGCGTGTCGAGATCGATTTTCTTTTCTTCCGGCTTCGAAACTTTTGTTTTTTTACTTTCATTCGACGGATATTTATACATATATATATATATATGGATATGGATATATGGATATATTATTATAGGAATTGCGCACTTTCGACACGATTAATAAGCCTACACCGACGAATGAATCTCTCTTCTTTTCCTAGCAAGTAAAGTCCTGTCTCGATCATCGTCCAACAATTAAGATCCTAATGGCAACCTACCTTTGCCCAACTTATTTTTCATTTTTCTTTCTCTGGTACACGCATCCCCCCCCCTCTCGGTACAAGGAAGAATCTGTTATTCGAACGATATGACGATAATCACAATGACATGACACGATACGATTTGATTATATGATATGGTATGATATGACTATGAGATGATTAATGTGACCATGACCATGATTTTTTACCATGATTTTACATTTACTTATTTGTTGCACGTTGTTTGGTGCGTCTCCGTAAGCAGTATGAGGCGCTCGCAGATCTCCGCTGGTATTTCGACATTTCGATCTTTTAGTATCTTCGAGATAACAGATCGAGAAAAGTACGAGAGAAGGTGGCGCACGCACTTGATCGTTCTTGTGCTTTTTTATCGTAAAATCGCTTAAGACTAAGAGGACTGTGAAAGGGAGGAGGAGGGTTAACATTTCCTATTAGAGGATACGCAAAAGTGCGAAATGTCGAGCCAGCCAGTCGGCTACTTGCGAAGCGCTGGCAGTCTGTAAGTTGAGTTTAATGCATGTTGTTTTGTCTGTCCTTGCATGCAGGGATTCGGTTTTGTAACATTCGCAAATAGTGCTGACGCGGACCGGGCACGTGAGAGGCTACACGGCACCGTGGTTGAGGGCAGAAAGATTGAGGTGTGCATGAACTTTCTTATACTTATACAATACATACATACAGAAAATTTTATATCTACATTATATAATACATATATATATATATATACATATTATACGCGCACACACGAATTTATATATATATATATATATATATATATATGTATATATATAGTATACATTTATATACGCGCACATACTTGTGTGTGCGTATCGCCTTTGAATTTGCCATATAAAGTGTCATTTATTTTCAGGAATCAAAAAAAAAAAAAAACATTGGAAAGCGCGCGTTTGTCGCAATCTATAAGTTCGAATATTTCGCGCGCTTTCCAGGGTAGCAAAAAAAAAACACGAGAAATATGATCGACATTGCCTTCGATTTCGATCGTATTTTCCGTTTGACCTCATTATCGCGTCGAACGATTTTCTTCTTATTCTCAATCGCTTCTCTTTTTCATTTCTAACCAAAAACACTTTTTTATCTATGCAATTTTAGGCAATCGTTCAACGCGATACGAGCGATATGAGCGATATGAATGGGAGAGAGAGTGAGAGAGTGTAAGATAGGAATGACAGAGAGGGAGACTGAGAAAGAGAGAATGTGAGAGAGAAAGAAGGAAAAGAATTAAAGAATAATAATACGAGTAAAAGTAACATAGTTTTTAAGATAGTTTAGAAGGCACGTTAGTTGCAATTTTTCGATACGACGAATACATTTCCAAACAAATCATTCTCGATTCATTTGGAAACTTTTCTCGTCGTTTTCGAATATTATTATCGACAGAGTTTGTGATCTACGTGAGATGTAACTCCGAAGAAATGTGCGTTTCACAACGAGTGGAACCAACAAATTCGACCAAGTTTCTTGCTTGCGATCCAACTGAAATATTATACAGAATATGCTAGAGTGTACAAACAAAAGAGAACACGCCGTAATATTACGTTTCTACGAGTAGAATATATATCAGTAATCTTCAAAGTGTAATATCAATCGCTGTTTCTTTCAACTCGTCGTCAATTTTCCAAAGTTTTAATTTCGTATCGAGATTTCAATATCCACTTTAATATCATTTTACTTTAAGGTACGATTATTTGAAATGGTCTCATTTAATGTAATCCTGAATCTCTGTATATTCCAAACTCCGTCAAACAGAGAGCGAACGCGAGATACCGATTTGCCGAACTTTATTAAACTAAAAGTAGCTTAATTGATAAAGAGATAGGAAGAGAGAGAGAGAGAGAGAGAGAGAGAGAAATAGAGGAATGTTTGCCTTTTCTCGCTACGTGGTAGACCACAGAGTGCATACGTTGAGTCCTATCTATTGTTGTTTGTGCCAAGTAGCAGTGGTTTAGACCGATCGAGCAACTCAATCGGGTAGTTGTTGGTTCGTCTATTCTTTCACTCTCATATTTCTCCATCTCTAATTACTTGGCCGAATGAGGCTACATTCCTTGTCTTATTACACTTGCGATGTTTATTCATTATTTATATTTATCCGAATTCATAGACACATGAAAATCGGTATCTTCGACGCGCGCATTTCGTATTATTGAGAAAAGATAATTTCTCAATCTCTAAAAAGATTATACCAGCAATCCACCAACGTGAACGATTTCCGTTAGGCTTGCTTTATCACTGAAATGTGATTAAACATTTGCAATAGAATAGCATTTTGACGTTAAGAATAAAAACAGTTTAACGGTTATTACGTCCACGTTCGTAGGATCGCCGATAAATTGAAACATCGTCGACGACGTTGAAGGGGTGGAAGCGCAACGATGTAGGAAATTACGAATAAACCGATTAAAAAGGTTCATCTTATTTTTAAAGAAAAATATCAAAGTATAATTATGTCTTACACAGATCTCTTGAGAAATGAAACAAACAATATCAAAAAGATGGGAACGAATAAAGAGAAAAATAAAAACGCGAGATTTGAGAGAAAACGCGAATTAGAGAGAGAGGGCGAGATAGAGGGCGAGATAGAGGGTGAGATAGAGAGAGAGAGAGAGAGAGAGAGAGAGAGAGAGAGAGTGAACTAGAAAATAAATGAAACGATCGATCGCGTTTGATCTGCTATATTAGGATAAATCGATCGAGAAATATAGTAATGGGTGAATGGCGATCGAGGACACTGAGGAGACTACCGAAAAATCAAACCTCGCTAAGTGTCCAAAAAGGTAAGGAACAAAATCAAAAATACACAAAATCTCAAAAAATATTATCGCAGATGATAAAACACAGAAACAAGACGAATGAGAGTAATGATAAAGAGAAAGAAAAAAAAAGAAAAAAAAAGGAAAAAAAAAGAACAAAAAAGTAAGAATAAGCTCGTCTTGAGTACTCTCTCCCACGTTTGTAGACCAGGTCCAAATTTTATATCGAACGGTCGATCTTTTTCAAGGCAACAACGTTTATCGCTTACGTTTACATACTTTGCTTTCGCGCGAATACCTTTTTTTTCTTGTCCTTTATTTTTTCTTAAATTAAAATAAAAACGAGAAGGAATATCTCTCGAATGTCCGTTTATGAATTTGTTTGTTTTTTTTTCTTTTTTTTATTATTGCAATATTTTTTTGGCATTCATTAGAATAAGATAGTAGAAGGTCGATCGATTGATTCGAATGTTCTCGAACGCTTGGCTAAGGAGGCCGCCGATAAAACTCCGAGTTTTTTTTTTTTTTTATACGTATAATGGAAAACAAAAGAGACTATACGTTAACGTTAGAAAAAAAAGAAAGAAATTGTTATAATAAAATTTGTTAAATCAAAATTTGGTAGACAAGCAACCAAACGGTACGACGCAGTTCCTTTGCCGATTTTTTCAGTTGCAGATATAAAATGAAATTTTAATTGCTTTGTCGTTTATCTTGTATACGTTCTATTAGAATTTAACAAGAGGAAGATCGTTATCTGACGAATAAGGAAGAAACGCGTGGGAGGGCGAAGGAGTTAAGTTCGTATAAATATACAGTGGGTGCAGAAAGTATTCGTACATCGATCAATTTGAAATGAAATGTTGAGAAATTGTAATTTATTAACTAACTTTTTTTTATAAACGATCAATTTATACGTATTCTTGAAAGTCTCTACAAAAAAATTAATTTTTCTCAATAAATTATAAAATTGGCAAAAACTACAAACAATAAGTAATTCGTACAGTTCTTATTTCGAACTATTTACAAAAGAATTCGCATTGAAATCATAATATAAACACATCACGCGCGTGATTGCTTTGTAGTTATAATTGACCTCGTCAGTATGTTTGTAAGCGTTATCGACATCAGTTGAATTCAAAATTTGTTAAGATTGAAACTTATTGTTGGAAAATGGGACAAAGACGTGTGGAAACAACGATAGAAGAAAAAAAGAAGATTACTAATTTACATAAGCAATGTAAAAGCTTATTAGAAATATTGCAAATTATAAACATACCTCGATCTACTATACAAAGTATCATTGATAGATATGTATTAAGAAAGAAACTGCAAAATAAGTCAAGTAATGGACGTCCACGGAAAATGAATCAATACCACTGAACGAGTTATTACAAAAATGAAAAAACAGAATCCAAAGATAAGTGCTATTAAAATAGTCAAACATCTTAAAAATAATTGAAATATTGATATATCTGCACTCATGCAGCCCCAAACAAGTACAGAATTGCGGCTCCACCACCGTGTTTCACTGTGTCCATAATTTTTGGTTTCATTACGTCTATTGAAAAGACTTTCAAAAGCATGTATAAATTGATCGTTTATACAAAAAAATTAGTTAATAAACTACAATTTGACAAGATTTCATTTGAAATTGATCGGTGTAGGAATACTTACTTTCTAAACCCACTGTATACATAGATTGGTTTTCTAAATCGACGATGAATACGTTAGTAGGTAACGTCGTCATTCGACCTCAACGAAGCTCGAAGTTTTCGCACTTTGCAAGTCAAATTCGGGCGGAGGTCTTGCGCTCTCCAGTAGTAACAAGGAAGGCCGCAACGCGGTTAGTTTTCGATCAGGAAATTGACCAAAGTATCCTTAACAAGACTCCAAATCACCCACGTCGTTACTTTTATCGCGATCGCGGCCTATCTTTTTATTTACATTTACATACGTACCTTAGGAATTATACGTACATTTATATTGCAATTACAAGAGGAACCGAAGAAGAATTAATACGGAAGCAGAGAAAAAGGAGCCCTCCTTCCGCCAAGCATTCGATCGAATGACAATGTAGATAAACAAGAATTATTGCTCGATCGGACCAATGAGCGAAATATTCTCTATATCTATATGCATATTTATATATGTATATTGTCTCTGTTTAATCCATTCGTTGTATTCGAATATTTCGCTCGGTCGTTCTTTTTAAACATGAAATTGTCGCTTCAATTAAACTCGTTCTCTAATTTAATCTTTCAAATTGCTTAATTCTCACATTTTATCAAAGTTCTACGAACAAGACTTTGAACGGTATATTTCTCATGCTTAATGATTAATTTAAAACCATGCCTTCTTGATCGAACATTAAATTCAACGATCGTCGTATAAACTATTCGACTTCGAAATGTATCTCTAATGTCAATTTATTTGAATTTTGTTTTCCAAGTACATTATTTATATTTCAATTAACATACATATATTTTCGAAGTCGGAAAACTCGAATAATTCTAAGAGAATCTTTTGGTTGTAGGTTCTGTTGATGATTTTCCTGATGACGATGTAAATTACCTTGAAATCAGATCGATTTGATTCATAAAACGATGAATAAGACGAAATAAGACGCTTCATCTTTGAGATTATATTGGAAATAAGAAAAAAGAGAGTTATCTGAATTCAAAGTAAAAGTGTCCATTTATTGGTCGTGCGCGCGTCGAGGTTATGTTGAACGAAATACATTGTAGTTTTAATTGTGCCCATAATTAGGAAAATAATTTAAATAATGTATCTCTTGTTTCCAAATATTTCAAGATTTATACTTGAACACATTCAAATTATTTCAAATTAGTTTTCAAATTACATTGAATTTATTTAGTTTGTAATAATGTAGTGCGTAATATCATAATTATGAGCACAATTAACTTGTTAATTTTTTCCTTTGTTTTTGTTTTTTTTTTTTTTTTTTTTATATGAAGAGAAATACTCGACGCGCGAACAGACGTACAATCGCGTACAACGCGAAGGATGTCAGTTTTTTTTTTTTTTGAGGGAGAAGAAAATGAAAAAGAAACTCGAATCGATGCACATCGTAATAGTAGCTACTCATCATTATCGCGTGTTTTGACGATTACAAAGAAATCACCGTAATCTATATCGAACGTGCATATCATTAAAACATAATAAGTGCATCGTTCGTGCGTTCTTCTTCAAATATTCGACTCGTGCGTGTGTGCGTGGCCATTAACTATTTCAAAATTAAATAATATATTGACTATTTTGCATATCTGGTAATTTTGTAGTCGCGTACTGTTGCACGAGTCGAGACAATTTATCTTTGCATTAAAGGATTAATAGAGCGCTTTACTAATACAATATTTTCGAATCGACAGGTGAACAATGCAACGGCGAGAGTGCAGACGAAAAAACCACCGACGGTACCCAACGGTAGGTTAACAAGTTTTTTTTTTTTTTTCAACTATATCAAATGTATCGTCCATGCAGTGAGTATTTATCGATTGTTATCGCGTTTGCTAAGATAGTAACGCGACTCGCAAGGTTAATCAGTGTTATAAATAATTAAATGATCGCGTTTCCCTGCCAAGTGTTTCTTCATTCAAACGCGTCGCCATTTAATTTTAATTAAACACATACGACAATCACATACAATTCGTTCTCATTTGACAATATAAATGCGCTTTTTCCATTATATACGATAAAAATTCGAATTCAAAACACGCATTCAAAATATTTGACAAATGAATCGATCGTCGGAGCTAACATAAGTCAATTGGAAATTTAGATCTCCATTACCCAATCTTGATAGCCTAACTCAATTAAATAGACCAAAAGTCTTTTCATACTCGTAGATGGGAATAACTTTGGTAACACTAGTGACAATAAATTGATAGATAATTTTATTATCCTCCCTTGTAGCTATCTATTTCTCTCTCCAACTAGATCTAATGCGGGAACGTAAAAGGACCGTGCGCATTTAATTATAGCATTATTTATCCAATTAATCGATCCAATATTTTCCCCGTAAGGGCGAAAAAGATAGTTCAAAATATGAATGTTAATAATAAAGTCACGGTTTTTATGTTTCATGTATTTTTGATAGCGAACGTTGCTGAAATCATGTTCGAAGGGTATAACCCTATTTGTTTTCATTTCACGGAGTAATCTGTCGTTAATTTATTAATTCTGTATATCCGGTTAAGCTGGGTCATCATCAACGTGTGGCGATTAGAAAATCTAGAAAGGGAACGGAAAGTTGGAATAATTGTCCAACTTCCGTTTCATTAAGAACCGTTTTATCGAGAGATACGGATGGTCACGAGGGTAGAATAATCACGCAATAGTACGATCAATCTTTTCGTTTGTCGCGCGTTCAAACTAAAACGCCATTGCTACGCTTTCCAACATGGCGACAATTTTCATCAAGAAAGATAGAAAGAAACTAAGGAAGAAAATTGATTTCTGTTGCAGTTTGCGTTCAATGGCCAGAGGGTAGGTGCATCCACGACGTGCCTGAGTCGGCATTACTGATTCTCTGCTACGAAATCCGTGAAAATTGCCACGGATTTTCGTAAAAGTGACCTATAAACAAAAAAAAAAAAGACAAGGCAACGACGCTAATGAGACGACAAAAGACCGACGGTGTAGAAAACTACGAAAAATAAGCAAAAACAAATAATAAGAAAAAGAAAATCTTCTCGGGCAAGGCCAAGAAAGTGACCAAAAAAAAAAAATGCAACCGCTTTCTTGAAACACATACCATAAATTTTCTTCGTATCGCTAAACGGGGAAAGAAAAAAATAATAAAACATACGTCTCGAGTGAAGGGAAGAGACAAGTTAACAACACAGAGCCGCCACATACCACGACCAAGCCAAATAAAACAGCCACGAATATGTTAATAGATAAAAGTCAAAGAGAGGAAAAAAGGGGGAAAAGAAAATACATATATATATATATTTACAATTAGGAATTTTGTCCTTCCTCGTCCATCATTTTGTTGCGATAGATAAAAACGTAACAACAATCCGCGCGTAATGCTTTTTTTTTTTTTCAAATGATTTCAATTAGTTTCATTGACGGAGAAAAGGAACATTCAACCTTCTTTCTCTCTCTTTTTTTTTTCGTCTTCTTCTTTTTTCTTTTTCTTTAGTTTCTTGTCTCGTACTCAACCAACATATACTTATACCTATACTTATACTTATGTATCTATGTATATACGTATAAGTACTTTGTTTCAATCGATTCTATCTTAGGAAGATACGTTAAAGATTATAATTCTATATTTTATTTTATTCCTCTTTTTGTTTTTTTGTTTTTGTTTTTGTTTTTTGTAGCTAACGTCTTGGAAGAGTCATTAGAGTTAATAAGCGTAAATTCAGGAGGGACGCGTATGAACAGCATCTAACGGTCAGTGATTAGAGGCGAATTAACGAGACGTTTCTATTTAGAAGAAAAAAAAGGGACAAAAAGTACGACGGTGCGATAAGATTGTTCTGTCTATAATAACCTCGACAAAAAGAAAATACTCTTTTTTATAATTATAAAGCTATTAATCTTCACGTGATTTGCTAAGCTTTGAGAAAGCTATTTACATATAACGAAATATTGTAACAGGGTATCGAATAGTGCCACTTTTTTGATAGGTATTTTTTAAGAGCGCACATTCAAGTGATATATATATTTTTTTATACTTATACACACACACATTACTATATAACCAGCAATACGACAACGTCATTTTGCGTATATCTATATTCATTTGAAGATTCAGCGATATTTCTTGAATTGGTGATATTGTTGTAGTCGCATTTTCATACAAGATATGCAAACTTTTCCAATTTTCTTTAGACTTTCTTTAAAAATATTTTCCATTTCAATACTTGTATAGAATTATCGAGATAGAGAATTACTACTACTGATTTAACCCTTTCGCAAATGTTATGGGAACATTTATGCGTCTCAAAGTTCTTCAATCTTTTAGGCATAAAAGTTATTTTTATCTAATAATCGTTTGGAGGAGGAAAGGGTTAAATGCAAACAATCAATGTCTTCAAATTATTCCAAATTTGTCGAAAGGTCGCTTTTTCTTCCTGATATAATGTTTTCTAGTCTAGTATAATATTGCATTAATAGAACATATTAAAATAATAATATGTATTCCATAATGATAAGGTGATTATAACTAAACAGAGAGAGAGAGAGAGAGAGAGAGAGAGAGAGATAGAGAGAGAAAGAGAGAGAGGTGTAATATGTACGGGAATGTTGGTTAAATTATTTCAAAATAAGTAAACACTCAATTTCTCGAGTATGCAGTGCAAGCCGAATTGCAAGGAGCATGTTGTTCTTTTCGAGAAAATATTATAAAGGACAAAATGAAGGAAATGGTACGTTGTTCTAATGCCGAGAAAAATATTGAAGTCGAAGGAAAGCGGAAGCAAGCAACGACGAAGAAACGAAGAAGAAATAGCACAAATTTGAAAAAGAAACAAAACAAAAAATCAGGATGAACCGTTCATTAAGCGGGTGTACATTTGAATCGTTCCTTTTCACCAGTTGGATAGATATCTAATTATATCAAAAATTCCTGTCATTGGAAATGATGATTTGTAATATAATCGACGATACTACCAACTTTGACGATTTATCAAAGTTTTTTTTCTCTCTCAAATGTTGTCTCTGAAAGTTGTATTTTTATCTTCATGAATGTATGTAAACTTGAAACTCTCTTTACATATTTATATATGTGCTTTCGATAAGCCCGAAAAATCGTTTTACGTAAATAAAAAAAAAAAGAAGTAAAGATAGCGCGCATGTGCGTTTTATCGTTGAAGAAGCCGTCTACGCGTATACATTTTTATCAAAGATACGCTCGTAGTATTTTCTATACTATATATAATTATTCGTGAAAGGAAAAATACTCCAATAAGAACGATTTGTTTGGAGGAATAAAAAAAAAAAAAGAATTGGTTAGATAGACCGTTTGCATGAATCGTATATTCTATATTACGTTTCTCTTTTATATTTTCTATCGTTTATGCGTTGATAAGGTCTCTAGGTGCTTCATCATCCCTCTCGACTCACCAAAGAGAGTCCCCACATTCTTACCGTACTCACGCATTCTCTTTAATTAGCAGACGCCGATTTCGGATATATACCTACATATATATATATACAATAAATACGCACGCACACGGATCGTAAGTCATTTTTATGGTAAATGGAACGCAGTTAATTTTCCAGAAGCTTGATCCACTTAAAAAAATAAAAGAAACCAATTATTATTGCTCGTCTAATTCCTACAATGAAAGTCAAAGATAAGGGACAGACTATGCATATGATTAATTTTTTGGAAAAACTTTACTCACAAAATTAAAGAAGAGGAGAGATGACGTTGCTAAAGAAGAATGTATCAAAGAAAATTCTGACCACGATGCTTGCCGATTCCAGTGGAATGGAAGAGAAGGAATAAAGTATTTGCGGACTGAAAGCGGAGAAGAAGGAAGTTACGGGACCAAAAAGCAGCAAAAGGAGTTTAAAAAATAAGGTCAGCACTGACGACAAAGTAACAAAAAAAAAAAAAAATTAAAAAAAAAAAAAATAAAAGAAAAGGCAAACCCGCGGGCATGGAAAAGGAAGCGCGCGAGAATGCGTAGATTGCGGGGGAAAAAAAAAGATATAATTATACGAATTGAACGCGATTCGATCCGATCCGCGTGTAGCTTCTCTCACTCTTTCTTTCGCCTCGTTCTTCCTTGTGTTCTTCCTCGTCTATTTTCTTTTTCTTCTCCCGCCCTCGTCTCTCCTCTTCTCACCCCCCCTTATCGCCTCTCTATCATATCAAAATGATCAAATCGTAAAGTAGATAAATAGAGAGAGGGAGAGGGAGAGAGAGAGTGATAAAGGGGAGGGGAAAGACGAGCATCATCCCACAATCGATCCCTGTGAAGAAAAAGTATCTCTTATTAGCCAAGTCACAATTCTTCCGAACTTTTTCTCCTCTTTCCTCTACCATTCACCCTCAGTACCTTAGGAGAATCTCGCCTGGTAGCTTTTAGTCTAGGGCTCTCTCTGTCCAGTGGTAAAAGCATGAGGTATTTTCGTATGTGATAATTCGTATGATTTATTAATTATCGTATTTACCATTAACCTACATTGCCTTTCTATGTTCCCTGTCACGAACAACACTCGACACATTATCTTCTTCTTCCTTCTTCTTCTCCTCCTCCTTTTCCTCCTCCTTTTCCTTCTCTCGGTCAATTTGTCTCTCGTTATCCGACCGAGAATTACATCTTACTCCCTAATCCCCATTCGATATCAAATCTTTCATTACGATCGGTCGAAACGCATCTTCGCAGGATTAATTTTTCCTACTTGTTTTCTAATATTTCATAGCTCGATATTTGATTTTAAGATATACATATATCATATACTGTTTATTTATGCGTGTTGATTGACGATTGTTGCTCGGACAATGGCGCGACGGTTATTTCCTTGAATTCGAATAATTTTGGTAACAATAAGAGACGACCCGCGTCTCTTTTCATTCGTCCGATCGATTAATCCTTTCCATCCTTCTCCACTCTCTTCTCTTTTCGCATCTCATACGTATATATGTATGTGTAGACAAACATACGTACATAAATACGTACGTACGTACCTACATAGATATACATATGTATATTCATCTAATATGTTCGCTCTCAACATGCATATATATATGTATATTATATAGATATTTTTAAATTGTTACTATTACACAATATATAATCACGGTAATGCGCCACATATTCACTGGTTGATGACTGTCTCGTTGACAAAGGCCCGTACCTTGCCTGTGGTTGTGCTTGGTTGTGGTTGGAGCGGTTTTGGGAGAGAATTTTTTACTTGCTTCTTTTTTTAATATTATTACCTTTTTTAATTTGCACGTCTCATGTCGTGGCCTTGGCTTGCCTTCATATGAGATTCACCTATGACTTATGTATATATGTATGTATGTACGCGATCGATCTCGTATTATCTTTGCAAACGTATGATACTTTCTTATATTTATATATATATATATATATATATACAATTTGTTTATTGATGACGTGTACATGTATGATATGTATGCACGTGTACCAAAATACGTATATATAGCGTACATATAGACATAAAGACAGCAGGCGTATATATAAGAAGACGCTTGCGTTTGCTTCACGAGCACGCTCGTGTAGCACGCTCGTGTAGCACGTACGCGTTACGTGTATATACGCGCATTTCTCTCTGTATACGTATCGTAGAACATGTCTATACATATATGCACGCATGCATATATGTATGTATTTATATCGTTCGTATTCATTGCGTAATTAATCGCTCGATTTACGAATTAATTGCGATTGAATACGTGTATAATGTATAACTACATAGAGATACGTATCTATAGATTATATTACATTATAATTTCATACGTATGATACGTGCGTCCTGGCAGTCGTACGTCAATTAACAATAATTGCACCTACATGTTATGTACATTACGAAAGGCTGATGTAAGTAGATTTTATTGAGGCCGATCTCTTTCCTCTTTCTGTCTCCTCCTTTTATTTTCTACTTTGTTCATTTATACTCTTCTTTCGTAGTCTAATTTTATTTTATTTCTTTTTTT